TATTCTATTCTATTCTATTCTATTCTATTCTATTCTATTCTATTCTATTCTATTCTATTCTATTCTATTCTATTCTATTCTCTGTGGACTAGACTGCGAAGTTAAAAAAAAAAAAGCCATCCAGTTAGATGGTGGCCACCACTTCCTTTACTATTACATCTAGGAGCCTCTGTGGCGCATGGTTAGAGTGCAGTACTGCAAGCTACTTCTGCAGCCAGCTGCCTACAATTTGGCAGTTCAAATCCTACCAGGCTCAAGTTTGACTCAGCCTTCTATCCTTCCGAGGTAGGTAAAGTGAGGACTCAATTTGTTGGGAGCAATTATGAGAGAGGGTTGTAAAGCACTATAAAGTGGTATATAAGTCTAAGTGCTATTGCTATTACTATCTCCACGGAGGCAAACAGGATGGTTCTCCTCTTTACTTCAATGGCCATGAGTATCTACAAGTTTGGGGAATGTGACAACCTGCGTGTCCTTGCATGAACAGCACAAATTCTGCACTTCTGTTATGTCACCTCACGCCGCAGTCAACTCATTAAACAACTGTGTGATTTGCACCATTAGGTCATGACAGAGGTGGTATTCAGCAGGTTCTGACCAGTTCTGGAGAACCGATAGCGGAAATTTTGAGTAGTTTGGAGAACTGGCAAATACCCACTCTGACTGGCCCCGCCCCCATCTATTCTCCGCCTCCCGAGTCCCTGCTGATTGGCTGGGTCTTCTTTGGTTGCCCTGCACAGGAGAACGGAGCTGGAAAGCAGGTTAGTGGGGTGGGGAGGGAATGGAGATTTTACAGTATCCTTCCCCTGCCATGCCCACCAAGCCACACTCACCAAACCACGCCAAGCCCACCAAGCCATGCCCACAGAACCAGTAGTAAAAAATTTTGAATACCACCACTGGGTCACGACATGCATGACATCATTTTGCCATGGCTGTGGTTTTCGGCCAGACACCCCTAGAGAAGCTAAACATGCTCTGGGATGCTTTATTCTTCTTCTGCATGGTTTTTGTAAAAAAAAATTGTAGAGGGTCCTTCTCACCTCGGTTGCATAAGCTCCCTCCGTAGCTGGGCAAGCACAGGCAGACAAAGGCGTTGATCTCGTCAATGCAGGTCCCGCCATTTTGACAAGGGTTGGATAAGCAGTCATCAATATCTGTGGAGAGAAGAGCGTGTATGAAGGTGGGGACTCCATCCCATTATGGCAGCTACTGCTGGATGGAAACTGAACAAGGAGAGATTCAACCTGGAAATAAGGAGACATTTTCTGACAGTGAGACAATCAACCAATGGAACAGAAGTTGCCCTCGGAAGTTGTGGGAGCTTCATCACTGGAGGCTTTCAAGAAGAGATTGGACTCCCATCTGTCAGAAATGGTGTAGGGTCTCCCGCTTGGGTGGGGGGTTGGACTAGATGACCTACAAGGTCCCTTCTAACTCTTTTTATCTGTTATCTGCTGCATGGAATTCACAAGTCCCTCTTCCAATTGTCCAGGTTCTGTTTACCAGGAAACCCGATAGATTTTTTAAATATATTTTATTTTATTGTAATATCCTGCCTTTACAGGTAGTCCTCGACTTACAACAGTTCACTTAGTGACCGTCCAAAGTTACCATGGCACTGAAAAAAGTGACACTGGGACTGATCGTGAGCGGTCCATGTGATGTGACGATGGGGGGAAAAGGGCATGGATTGTAGTTTGGAACATTGTGGGAAGTCCGGGAAACTTTTAGTTTCAAGATTCCACAGATGTGCCAGGTGTTATTCTAATAAAAGTACTTTTGAGATTATGCTGGTCTCGGAGTTACTGATTGGAATGGGGGTTTGCTGGAATGCTGACAGACCACCTGTACACCACTTCACAGTGCGTTTACATCCCTCTCTAAGCGGTTTACAGAGACAGCCTATTGCCCCCAACAATCTGGGTCCTCATTTTACCCACCTGTATCCGTGTGGGAATTAATTCCCGTAAACTTTTCCAGCGGAAGCTGTCCATTCCCTCCCCTCCCTTCCAATCTCCTCACCTATTTCACAGTTTTCGCCTGTGAATCCTGGCAGGCAGTGGCAGCTGGAAAGGTTTCCACTCGACTGGCAGGTGCCCCCGTGCAAACATGGATCGATATCGCAAGGGTCAGTTTCGGCTGCAAAAAAAAAAAAAGGGAAAAAAAAGAAACAAGCAGGAGATGAGGAGAGAGGGTTGTTGTTTGTTTTTGTCATTCAGGAAATCCAGATTGCAGAGAGGATTGCTCAGGTCGTCTGTGCTTGGCCGTCTTCCGGCTGGACCACAGCAATATGTTCAACAGGAGGTCTGCCCTTGAAGACTACCCAAAAGTCATGACATCGGGTCTAGAATAAAGCAGCAAATATACTCCATAATTTGCCCTTTTGTATGAGCGACACTGATTCCTGGTTGCTTTCTGAGTGCAATTCAAGCTTTAAAGCATGGGTGTCAAACTTGCCACGTCACGTCGCTGTCACCTGACGTTTTGTGACATTTCCCCCCCCCCTTTGCGGAGCTGGAGTGGGTGTGGCCTGCGCGTGAGGCCTAATGCTTTAAAGCCTTACAGGGCACATGGCCAGGTGGTTTGTGGGATCACCTCTGCCCATCTTGCTGGGTCAAATAACAGAATAACAGTGTTGGAAGGGGCCTTAGAAGTCTTCTAGTACAGGGGTCTCCAACCTTGGTCACTTTAAGCCTGGAGGACTTCAACTCCCAGAATTCCCCAGCCAGCTGAAGTCCCTCAGGCTTAAAGTGGCCAAGGTGGGAGACCCCTGTTCTAGTACAATCCTCTGCTCAAACAGGAAACCGGCTCTGTGGGCGTGGCTAGGTGGGTGTGGTCATGTGACTGGGTAGGGGTGTCTTCTATTTTTTTTCTCCTGGAGGGGTGCGTTTTTGCTCCCAGGAAGCTTCTTTGAGGCCCAGGAAGGCAAAAAATGGAACGGGGGTTGGGAGCAACACACACACACACACACACACACTCCGTGTTTCGGCCTCTTTGGCCTTAGGGAAGCAGTAAGACAGCAAAGGGGACGCCATCACAGCTGATTGTTGGAACAGCTGATCGTCGGGAGGAAAAGAAAACAAAAAAGAAAATGTTCGGCTGAACCAGTAGCTGTTCTTTTTTTACTATCGGTTTGCCTGAATCGGGCCAAACTGGTAGAATCCCACCACTGCCTATACCATTTCAAGACAAATGATTGTCCAGCCTCTTAAAAATCTCCAGTGTTGGAGAGCCCACAATTTCTGGAGACAAAGCCATCCCACTAAATTTATTGTTCTGTCAAGAAATTTCTCCTTACTTCTAGGTTGGTTCTCTCCTTGATTACTTCCCATGTGTTGCTTCTTGTTCTGCCCTCAGGTGCTTTGGAGCAGGGGTCCCCAACCAACGGTCCCCGGACTGGTACTGGTCCGTGGAACAATTTCTACCGGGCCGCCGGTTTCCTGGGCGCCGCCATCTTGTTTTGATGAAAAAGTGCGTCCGGGTGAGCTTTTCCGGTTGGAAAGCGGCGTTTGGGTCCTGAAGGAATCCTCGCGCCTTAGTTTCATCGAAGGGGGGGGGGCGGCTTCGAACAAAACTAAGGCGCGAGGATTCTTTCAGCACCCAAGGCAAGGCGAGCCGAGCGACCGTCCCGAAGCCGTCGCGAAGCCCATCGACAAAGGTACAAAGGAGGAGTTGAAGGTGGCGGGGAGAAGCGGGGGACGGCTGGCTGGCCGGTCGCTCAGCTCGCCTTGCCATGCGTGCTGATGCCGGTACCGGGCCGCGGATGATTTTGTGATGCCGGTACTGGGCCGCGGCACAAAAAAGGTTGGGGGCCACTGCTTTGGAGAATAGCTTGACTCTCCCTCTTCTTTGTGGCAGCCCCGGAGATATTGGAAGACTGCTATCCTGTCTCCCCTAGCCCTTCTTTTCAACAAACTAGACATACCCAATTCCTGCAACCGTTCTTCATATGTTTTGGCCTCCAGTCCCCTAGTCTCAACATCGTTTTTTTTACAAAACTGGACGCAGTCTTCCACGTGCGGCCTTATCAAGGGGTATTAATATAACTATTCCAGTCCTCTGACCCAGATTGGCACCTCCCTGCCCTCCTCCTCTCCTGGATTCCCATTATATCTAGGCAAGCCCTTTGCTCTGATGAGTGACATTGCGGCTGAGTGTGTCGCTTCGCCCTGCCTCAGTTGGACCTCTCTCGCTCAAAGGCCTTGTCTGATTTTTGCAATGCTGGCGGAGCAAACAACGCCAGCTCAAGGGCTCTGCTGTGTGCGCCAGTGTGTCCCCTCTCTGCCTCGATGAAAAGCATAACCGTGTCAAGTGGCCTTTTTTTTTACAAGCCCAATTCCCACCGCAATGCACTGTGGAACGGCCATGGCATCTGTTTGGAGAATTAATTGGGATTCATTACAGATAGTCCTCAACTTAGCATTACAAGGAAGACCAGAATTGCCATCGCTAAGCAAGACAGTTATGTGAGTTGCAAGCCCAATTTTTATGACCTTTTTTTTGCCACAAATCACTGCAATTGTTAAGAAAATCACGGGTCTGTATGGAGAGTCTCAGTCATCCAGGTCACGATTGCCCCAGAGGTATTTTTTCAAGAGGAAAGTGGACTCTCTGTTTTTTCTTGGAAGATGTGTGATGACCGGGGCATGGCACAAAAGCAACAAAGTCACAAAAATAGGTAAAGTCCCTTTAATACCTCCAACATGGCCCCCAATGTCCAGTTATCCTTGGCTGGAGAAAACAAATCTCCTAAGAACAGTTTTCAAAGGAAAGAAATTCCCTCCGAACTCAAAGTACATATAAATTATAAATAAAAACCAACACAAACCACACTGCAGCAATTAACGAGACAGGGCAGGATAAGGAATTGAAGACTTCAAAAGATAACGAAACACACACAGTTGGGAGGATGCCAGAACTCAGAGAAGACTTGACAAACCAAAATAATTCACATTTTGCTTCCAGCAAGGAGCTGTGCGCAAACCTTCTTTATCCTGTTTTCCCAGCTGCAGCTAATTAAGGGAATCAGGGCCTTTTTCTCCCCCATAACCCATGTTGCTCCCTTATCCGTTCCTCCCTGCGTGCCCTAGGATGAAGAGGGGGTGGGCCTGGGTCTTCCTCTGAATACCCAGCCGGACTGTGCCCTTCTCCAGTTTTCTCCACAGCCACTGGAGCCACACTCCCACTCCCTGTCAGCTGTTCCACCTCTCCCTCAGAATCAGATTCCAACAGGGGCATGACAAGACATTTCGCTTCTCATCCAAGAAGCTTCTTCGGCTCTGAAGTGTTCTCAGAGCCAAAGTAGCTTCTTGGATGAGAAGCGAAACATCTTCCAAGAAAAACCAGAAAGTCCTGTTGCTTCTTGAAAAAGCACCTTTGGGACAAAATCACAGGTCACAGAAGCGAATCTGGCTTCTCCTACTGACTTTGGAAGCTGGCTGAGAAGTCCCAAATGGCAACCAGATGAGCATGGGATGGTGCAACTGGTCATAAATACATATTGATTGCCAAGCGCCCGAATTCTATTCACATGACTGTGGGATGCCACAACAGTTGTAAGTTGAGGTCACCTTTTTCAGTGCTGCTGTACCTCTGAGCAGTCGCTAAAGAAATGGTTGTAAGTTGAGGATTTGCCTGTACTGGGATCTTTTAAGCAATCGCAGTTGTGTGACCAGAAAGTGAATTATGACACTGTGATTGCCAGGGAAAGGGTAGACAGGAGGAATCTCATGGAAATAGAAGATCTCCCTGCTTCAAGTAACAGGTCCTAAGAAGATAAGAAGCAATGTGGAGCTAGATCAGACCAAGAATCCACCCACTTTGGCATTTGGCATCTCACAAGGATCCTATGGAAGTTAAGTATGTAATCATTGCTCTTATGACCATTGTGTTTTGCAATACAGATAGTCCTCGACATACAACAGTTTGTTTAGTGACCGCTCGACAGCATTGAAAAAAATTGACATGACCCTTATGACTTATGACCATTTTCCATTTTCCGACTACTGCAGTGTCCCCATAGTCACGTGATCAAAATTCAAGATCAAGTGGAGGTACTAATACCACCCTATAAAGCCTTAGTAAGACCACACCTAGAGTACTGCATCCAGTTTTGGTCACCACACTATAAAAAGGATATTGAGGCTCTAGAAAAAGTGCAGAGAAGAGAACCCAGGATGATGAGGGGACTGGAGGCTGAAACATATGAAGAACGGTTACAGGAACTGGGCTTGGCTAGTCTAGTGAAGAGAAGGACCAGGGGAGACATGATAGCAGTCTTCCAATATTTGAGGGGTTGCCACAGAGAGGAAGGGGTCAAGCTATTCTCGAAAGCATCCGAAGGCCAGACTAGGAAATAATGGATGGAAACTGAACAAGGAGAGATTCAACCTGGAAATAAGGAGAAACTTTCTGACAGTGAGAACAATCAACCCATGGAACAGAAGTTGCCCTCGGAAGTTGTGGGAGCTTCATCACTGGAGGCTTTCAAGAAGAGATTGGACTCCTATCTGCCAGAAATGGTGTAGGGTCTCCTGCTTGGGCATGGGGTTGGACTAGATGACCTACAAGGTCCCTTCCAACTCTGGTTATCTATTACTGTTACAGACGCTCAGCAACTAACTCCTATTTATGACGGCTGGGCTCTTGTGATCACCTTTTGCGACTTCCTGACAAGCAAAGTCAACCAGTAAGCCAGATTTGCTTTACAATCGTGCTACTAACCTAACAACTGCTGTGATTCACTTAACCACCATGGCAAGAAAGATTGTAAAATGGGGCTAAAACTCGTTTAACAAATGTCTCACTTCGCAACAGACATCTTGGGCTCGATTGTGGTCGTAAGTCAAGGACTACCTGTACTCACAGCTCTGTGGGGTCCAAAGGAAGAAATACAGGGGAAAGTTTGGGTCTCTGGGGAGTAAGGAAACTATGCGGAAGCATTTTGTATATTTAGCAAGGGGCGGTGGGAATCTATGGAGCCGTGTTAGTCATCTGGGCTGCGTGAGGAGGACATGTTCTGCTTTGTAACGACGTTAGGAACATGGGAATAAATCCAGTTAATCAATACCCCGAATGTGTTTTCCGCAAAAGTGCATTACAACGAGCTTTGGAAAACAGAAGCAGAGACTTTAGGACGTTTGTGTCAAAAGCCCCGTTTCGAATCAGTAACGAGTGACAGAGTCCCAAGAGTTTAGCTGTTCGAAGCCTTTGAAGTTAGGGGAAATATATATGTGTGTGTGTGTGTGTGTGTGTGTGTGTGATCCAAAAAAATGCTTTTGGGGGAACAGGATTCAGTTAGCTGTAAATGTCGCTTGACACAGCGGGGAGCCTTGAATAGTGCAGCCCTGCCAGCAAAGCACAAATAATGTTATGCCAACTGCCAATTTTCCCCCCCTCTCCTCTCCAGCTCTGGAAAGGAAGGTGGGGGGGTCCCCTGTTGCTTTCTGCCCCTGGAGAAGACGTTGCAAGTCAACTTACAACCATTTGTTTGGTCACTGTTCAGCGTTTCCCTAAAAATATGCCCCACCCCAAAAAGAAGCCCTATCATGGGTTTTGAACGCATGCGCTAAAATTAAACCCTACCTCCAAAATTAGCCCCAATTAAGACCCCCGCCCACCCCAGGGTACAGGGGGTAGAGCGAGACGCACGGGTAAAAATTAAGCTAGGGTGGGGATAGGGGGTGCTGGTGGAGCTGCCCTACTTACCAGGCCTCACACACACCGACACCTGCCTCGCCTCGCAGGCCCGCTTCTTCTATGGGCCACTTGCCGCCGCTTGTGTGTGTCATCCCTTGCCTCCGTTTCGCCATCAGAGACTTCTGGAAAGCCCCCTGCAGCTGATAACAGAGCTCTGGATTGATCCGGAGTTCTTTTTATCAGCTACAGATGCCTTCTGGAAAGCATATGAAGGCGAAATGGAAGCCAGGGAGTGCCACGCGCATCAATCTGGAGCCCGTTTTTCAGTTGTGGAGGTCTTTCCGGAAGGCTCTAACGGTGACACGGAGGCCAGGGTCGACACGTATGAGCAGTGCCAAGAGGCCACAGAAGAAGTGGGCTGGCAGCAGGTCGGTGCCGTGGCAGCAAGGGGAGTCAGTAATTAGACCACTAGAAGCGCTAGCTGTTTTTTCAGGAATCAAAAGAAAATAAGATCGGGTCTTCTTTTCGGGGGAAAATAGTACAATGGCATCGAAAAAAGTGACTTATGATCTCTACTCACAGTTACAACCATTGCAGCAACTCCATGGTCACATGGATCAAAATTGGGGGTGCTTAGCAACCATGTATTTTCGATAGTTGCAGCATCCTGAGGTCATGTGACCACATTTTACAACGGTTTTGCCCAAAACAGGCGTTTTATTTCCATTTTTGGCAGAACCGTACTCCTAGTGAATCGTTGGTTCACTTAACAATCGCCGTGTTCACTTAACACGACAGCTGCTTAATAACCACTTTTTAAAAGCTTCTAAATTTTACGACCATCAGGACTTAGGACTGTGATGGGCAGGCTCCGTTACAGTCATAAGTCGAGAAATTGAATCCCCGCAATTCTTGTTAAAAAGGATCACAGAACAGGGATCAGGAAATACCCCTGCTTGACTAAGATCAGAGCACGTTAAATTATACCTGTGATCTATCTGCTAGGATCATCAGGTATCTCAAGGGATTTAGTGGCAGGACACACACTTTCTATGCTAATCAGTTGCATCCTGAACCTCACCAATTTAAAACAACAGAAGCCATTCTCAACCAAGACCATTCTCATAAAAGTGCCTCCATTCCTGATTTCAGGCATTTTCCTGATCTTGGGTGGGCCCTTCAACTTCCACTAGCTAGCATGGCTGTGGCTGGGATTTTTGTGAGTTAAAGTCTATTCATTTCCCCCCCCTACTTCAAGCATAAAGTCCAGAAGTGGTTTCCAAGTGAAGTGAAAGCAACGTTAACTCCATTCTTTTGTTTAGGTCAGTCCCTTTAGCTAGGAGAGCCCCTAGCTAAGATATTCTGTGCAGTTTGGAAAACCCCGCAAACCTCACTCCTTGGCTGGCCCCTCCCCTCCCCTCCCCGGAATCCCCACGCGGCCTGTTTTGGAGGCAGGTAAGTGCAGGGTGTGCACGGAGGCTCAGGGAGGGCAAAAAAAAACAGGCCTCCAGAAAGTTTGAGAAGGTCGGAAATGGGCCCGTTTCTGGTTTCCAGAGAGCCTCCGGAGCCCAGGGAGGCTGTTTTTGCCCTCCTGGAGCTCAAGGAAAGCCTCCGGAGCCCAGGGAGGGCAAAAGCACCCCACTGCCATGGTGCAGGAGGCTGACTAGGCCACACCCACCATGGCCACACCCATCCAGCAACCGGGCAGAGAACCCATTGCTAAAAAATTTTAAGCCCACCCCTGGAGGACTGACTCCCTGTAAAAGGCCTTCCTGTGGCTATGTAAGGATGGGGACCTTCTAAGAACTTGTCTAAAAGAAGGAACGGAGCTGAGGTCTGTCTGTTTTCACATTACATCTTCTTCCCTCCCGACAAAGACACAGTACAGAGGAGGCGGGATTCTTACCAAGCAAACTGTCATTCATCTCCTGGGCCCAAACCAAACGGGGGATTCCTTTGAGTGGCGGTGCATCTTCTTTCTCTTCCCCGCTCCCACTGTCGGTCTCCATTGGGAGGAAGTCTCCAGGGACAGAAGGGATGTACCCTTCCTGGTCCATCTTGGCTTCCACCTCTCTCTCGGTGGGATAGATGGAAGGTTGTGAGCTTGGAACCACAAGCGAGTTTTCAAAGGCAGCTGGCTGCGGTAAGCGTATAAACTCTGAGGTACTGTGGAGTATGAATGGAGTCCTCATCTCAGGCAAACTCAGGGCTGTGGTCTCCTCTCCGTTCTTGGCCTCATCCGGAAGGGATTGAGAAGAAGGAAAGAAGATGGTGTGATTGTGAGCTGGAGGTCCTGTAGTGGCACCATCTGGCCAATAGTAGCCACCATTGTCTTCCTCCGAGCTTTTGTGGTGAATTTGCTCTACCATGCTGGATTCTAGGTGGCTCTCCATGCTTTGAGTAGCCTGTTCCCAGCTACCTTGTGCCTCAGAAATATCTATGACTTCCATGAAAGTGGAACCATCTGGAGGCCTCAGGATTGCTTTGTTTGCTCTGGTGGTCTCCACACGATCTTGATTGTCGTGGTCCACCAACCATGCCTCAGTTTTCTCAGGGAGGAATTGAGATTCCTGCAAATACACATTTCCTGGAGTTGGGGAGATGATGTCTTTTGGGGAGAGGGTCACAGCTTCTTGTCCCCTCAGTTCAGACGCCGCTTCTGAATGTTGGCTGCTCTGTTCCAAGATGGCGTCCTTTCCTGCGATATCGAGGAGACTCATTGTCTCCTCTTGGTTAACAAAATGGAGCATTTCCGGCTCTGTTTCTTCTTCAGCATCCTCTGGAAAGTTTTGGTGGCCCTCAAAAACAGGTCCTGGAAGCTCTTTGCCAAAGCTCATTGTCTTGATGTGACTTTCTCGGGAGCTGTAATCATACTCTCCACTTGACTCATCAACGTGTGGCTTGTTTCTCCGGTGGTCAGAGGACAGAAGGGATTCTGCTGGGGTAACCGACTGTCCATGGCCAGAAAATTCATCTTCATGGTCTCCAGCTTGGGTCACCCCTTGAAGATAGTCGCTTCGCATGCTGGTCGTCACGGAAGCATCTTCTGGATCATATCCTGTAGTCACAGCAACTTTCTGCAGATCAAGTAGAACATTATCCGAGACCGGCAATGATATGGGAACGTGCTCATTGTATACGTCCTTCTCCTGGCTTCTTGGCCCAGACATGGTCCAATATCCTTGGTTGGTTCTTTCAGCACTCATGTCTTCCAAAGAATGAGGTGTTGACGCAGGAGAAAAGGTGGTTTCCTTGGGGCCTCGATTCTCAAGTAACGGCAACCCTGGGAAGATATGCACAGGATTAAAACAGATGCATATATTAGGAGTGTACAGTGCTTCCAATTTAATTTTCAAAATGTTTCAGAATATGCAGGGGTGTGAAAACAGCATCTGTCACTAACTTTTTAAAGTAGCCCTGTCTTTTTCTGGGATCACACACCAGGGACAGCTTCAAATCTTAGGACAAGATGCAGCTGCTTTAAAGAGTTACGGACAGATGTTGGGTTCAAATCCCCATGTACTCCAAAGCACAGTGTGAAACAGGATCCAAAGTACGGCATACCTGTGATACACACAAATGGGCTCATATCCAGTAAAAAAGACACAGTGAAACCTTACTTTAATGTACAGGTTATCCTCGTTTAGTGACCATAATTGGGACTAGCAACCTGGCCATTAAACAAAATGGCTGCTAAGTGAAACTGCAACTGTACATACGATCTTACTTCAGCCTTTGCTATGCTCTGTAAACGTGCAAAGATTGTAAACGTGAGGATTGGTCATAAAGTTACTGTCAACCCTAAAGCCAACCTGACTAGAACCATCTTTTGATGATTCATGGCTGCCACAAGGCAGAAGGTACTAATACCACTCTATAAAGCCTTAGTAAGACCACACCTAGTTTTGGTTAGCACACTATAAAAAAGATGTTGAGACTAGAAAAAGTGCAGAGAAGAGCAACCAGGATGATTAGGGGACTGGAGGCTAAAACATATGAAAAACGGTTGCAGGAACTGGGCCTGGCTAGTCTAGTGAAGAGAAGGACCAGGGGAGACATGAAAGCAGTCTTCCAATATTTGAGGGGCTGCCACAGAGAGGAAGGGATGAAGTATTTTGCAAAGCACCCAAAGGCCAGACAAGGAACAATGGATGGAAACTGAACAAGGAGAGATTTAACCTGGAAATAAGGAGAAACTTTCTGACAGTGAGAATAATTAACCAATGGAACAGCTTGCCCTTGGAAGTTGTGGGAGCGTCATCACTTGAGACCTTCAAGAAGAGATTGGACTGCCATCTGTCCGAAATGGTGTAGGATCTCCTGCTTGGGGGGGAGTTGGACTAGATGACCTACAAGGTCCCTTCCAACTCTGATTATCTGTTATGATGCTGTTAGTGAGGAAGTAAATAGCCTGGCTTGGCAGTCAAAACAAAAAGTTACCTGTGGGAACCAAGGTCATTTAAACAAGTGGCTGAGAGAGGAGGAGTGGAGTAACCAAGTCAGCACCTCATTGGACCATGCAACTGATGATCTGGGGAAGGGGGGGGAAACTTTCACTTTTTAATTAGGTGAAAAACTGCGGGAACTTTTAGTGTCAGTTTTTATCAGTTGTGCCAATATGATGTATCCAATAAACCTGTTCTTTGAGGAATCTACTTGCCTCAGAGTTCTACTTTCAATGGGTGCATTACTCAGAATGCTGACAGTTACATTTTCATCACCATTGTAACTGTCAATGGTCACTAAACGAGGCAGTTGTTAAATGAGGACTACTGGTACAGTAATGGTGAGGGGATATCTCTAACTTGAGGGACACGGTGGCTTAGCGGTTAAAATGCTGTGTTTGTCTAGCGGAAGGTAGGCAGTTCCAGACTCAAGAGCCACGTGATGGAGCAAGCTTCCGTTATTTGCCCCAACTCCTGCCAACCTAGCAGTTCAAAAGCAGGTGAATGCAAGTAGATAAATAGGTACCATTTCTGTAGAAAGATAACAGTGTTCTGTGCACCTGTTAGCCGCATGACCACAGAAGCATCTTCTGGGTGACACTGATTCTTCGGCTGTGAATCAGAGACGAGCACACACACACAGACACAGACAGACACACACCAGAAACAGACACAACTGGGCAGGGGAAACCTTTTTTTCTTTTTATCGCTAACTTAGAAAAGTCCATGAAATTGAAGCGAAGGGCACCATGGTATTTTCATCATATAACGGTGCTGCCATCATGCAAATAAAATATACCACGTAGAAATTAAGTCCATGGCATGCCAAGTTCATTGCTGGCTCAGGAATTCTGGGAGCTAAAGTCCACAAGTCATAAATTTGCCATAGTTACCCACTATGATTTTGATGAACTTGACTTAAAATTTGTTAAATTAACAGTTTCAGACTCTATGCCACCTTCTATTAAAGCTTCTTCCCTTCCCCTCTTGCTCACTCTCCCATGGCCAGCCCATCTGTCTGGGTGTTAATAAGTACAGGAAATTGGCACCTCTCCATCTGGGCCTCCGAAAGTGCCTGTGTGGAAGGGCTGCATCATAGGCATTTGGCAACGGCTACAATGCCGAGGAGCATGTGGGAATGGTTTCTGTGGCAACTGCCTCCTTATTAGCCGCATCGCCTTGCAGCGATGGTCCTTTGAGCTAATAGGGTTCAGCAGGGGGATTCCTAAATTTCTAAGGGTCTTAATCTCCCTGGGAGGGTTAAGGGCTGGGGTGGAGAGTGCGGAGAGAGAAGAAGGGCTGGGATAAGTGGAGCACGATGAACAGTCTGTTAGACGAAAGAAGGAACACCCTTGAATGTTGTGGAATTTGTAGGGACAACTATGTGTGTGTGGGGGTGTGTGTGTGTGTGAGAGAGAGAGAGAGAGGGGGAGGGAGGGAGGGAGGGAGGGAAGGAGGGAGAGAGAGAATATGTACAGCAGAAAGGGGAAACAGATTCTATAGCAATTAAAGAATTGGCTTTCAGTATTTATATTTCTACCTATTAATTGCTCTCTAATATCTTCTCCGTACCTGTCTGTGTCTATGATTGGTTTGCCTAGCTATTTACTTCTCTATGGTTGTCTGCAACTCATGCTCCTTTCCTTTCCTTTCCTTTCCTTTCCTTTCCTTTCCTTTCCTTTCCTTTCCTTTCCTTTCCTTTCCTTTCCTTTCCTTTCCTTTCCTTTCCTCTCCTCCGCTCTACATCCTTCCTTCCTTCATCTCCCTTTTCCTCCCTTTCTCCCAGTCCCATAAACAATGTATTCCCCTCAGTCCAGAATACTTAGTCAGTTTCAACACATGCTTCTTATTTAAAATTCAGACAGATCTGGTCAAGACTCCTCTGTCTACAATAGAAAGCAGCCTGACTTTTTATTTTGGCAGGATTACTGGATGGGTCTTTTGTTAAGAGAAGGCCGTGTCAGAGCACAGCAAGGAGGGCTTTTTCTACAGAAGGATCGTGACTCTGAAATGCCTTCCAAATATGCCAGATATCAAAGCTGTGTCGTTTTATATGCCAGCATGAAAAGCATCTGTGCACATTATCATTGGCTTTTCCTCTGTTCCAGCAAGGAAAAATTCATCTTTACCCTTTTCATTTGGGGATTTATACACTTTATTATTTCATATTGTTCGTGGCACCTGATCCCTGTATGCTATTTTGAGCGCCCATTGGAATGAGGGATGAAAACTAAGCGACCATAAATACATCACTTTTTCCAGGGGCCATAAGAATGCAAAAAGAATATAGTCAGATTAATTTAAAAAATAAAAACAATAATGATTCCATCTGGTTCTTTTTTCCAAAATGGCCATAACACAGGGCATGGTTGCCTGCCCAAGTTCAGATAGACTTCTCCTGAACAGGATGGCTCAGAATATTTGGACATTCACACTGTCAGTGTTTATTTTTTAAAACATAACAAATAAATTTTCCCAAGGACACAATTAATAGGATCAAGAGAACTCGAAGATTTGCAGAGAGATAAATATCTTAGGTCAAACTGCCTCTAGGTTTGTACAGATAAAACCTCGACTTAAAACCATTCGTTAGAGTGACCATTCAAAGTTACAACAGTACTGAAAAAAGTGACTTATGGCCGTTTTTCACACTTACGACTGTTACAGCAACTCTGTGGTCACATGATCAAAATTTGGATGCTTGGCAACTGACTCATATTTACGACGGTTGTCCTGGGGTCGTGTGGTTGTCTTTTGAAACCTCTGACAAGCAAAGTCAATGGGGAAGCCAGAATCACTTAACCGTGTCTACTAATTTAACAACTGCAGTGGTTCACTTATCAACTGTGGCAGGAAACATTGTAAAATGGAGCAAAACTCACTTAACAACTGTCTCACTTAGCAACAGAAATTTTGGGCTCAATTGTGATTGTAAATCGAGGACTACCAGTAAAGGAGGAGACTCCCCTCCTCTTGATTGGACAGGGCTGCTGACTACCTACCTACCTATCTTTCCTTTATCTTCTCTCTCTCTCATTCTCTATCTATCCGTCTATCTCTCTGTCATTCTCTATCTATTTATCTCTCTCT